AGCTCTATTCCTGCATTCCCAACAGCTCCTCCTGCCCTGCTATCTACCGCATGTCAGTACCCTGTTCCCACTCGCTGCACCTATCCTGCCTTTAACCCTGTAAAAAAGTCTCTGTAGCAACTGCTCCCCCCCTCTCTTGTTCCATCCTCCAGCTCTTCTCTGTCTCCAGCTGCTCCATTCGTTTGCAGACCTGCGTTTACTTGCAGTGCTCCAGTAGTTAAAACCAGAAAAAAGCGAAAATTCTTTCCAACCAGTACCATCCTGCCAGTATCCAAACCGGTGAGCCTGCCGTCTGAGAAACCTGCCTTCCGTGGTTCAGCCTGGTGCCCGGCACCCGCACTTCAGCTGAGGTCTGTACCCCAGCCTCTCTTCCAGACCTGATGCCTGTACCCAGCCTGATGCCTCTACTCAGCCTGATGCCCTACTCAGCCTGATGCCCCTACTCAGCCTGATGCCCTACTCACCTGATGCCCCTACTCAGCCTGATGCCCCTACTCAGCCTGATGCCCCTACTCAGCCTGATGCCTCTACTCAGCCTGATGCCTCTACCAGCATGATGAACTGATCCAGCCTGATGATCTATTAGGCCAGTTGACTCGATGCCCGCTGTTGATCCAGATGATCCGGTACCTGATCCGGTGCCCGCTGTCGTGCCAATTGACTCAGAGCCCGCTGTCGTACCTGGTGACTCGGTGCCCACTGCCTTGCCAGATGACGCGGTGCCCGCTGGTGAGCCAAATGACCTGATGCCTGGTGACCCAGTGCCCGCTGTCATATCTGGTGACCCGATGCCCGCTGTCGAGCCAGACGATCCAAGGCCTGGTGACCCGGTGCCCACTGCCTTGCCAGATGACGCGGTGCCCACTGGCAAGCCAAATGACCTGATGCCTGGTGACCCAGTGCCCGCTGTCATACCTGGTGACCGATGCCCGCTGTCGAGCCAGACAATACGGTACCTGATGACTCGGTGCCCGCTGTCGTGCCAATTGACTCAGAGCCCACTGTCGTGCCTGGTGACTTGGTGCCCACTGTCTTGCCAGATGAAGCGGTGCCCGCTGTTGAGCCAAATGACCTGATGCCTGGTGACCCGATGCCCGCTGTCCAGCCAGACGATCCAATGTCTGACCCAGTGCCCGCGGTCATACCAGTTGACTCGGAGCCCACTGCCTTGCCAGATGACGCGGTGCCGCTGTCGAGCCAAATGACCTGATGCCTGGTGACCCGATGCCCGCTGTCCAGCCAGACGATCCAATGTCTGACCCAGTGCCAGCGGTCATGCCAGTTGACTCGGAGCCCACTGTCATGCCTGGTGACTCGGTGCCCGCCGCTCCGCCTGGGGGCACGAGACCTGTCGCTCCGCCTGGGGGTCCGGCGCCCGCCGCTCCGCCTGGGGGCCCGAGATCTGTCGACTCCGCTGGGGGTCCTAGGCCCGCCGCTCCGCCTGGGGGCCCGAGACCCGTCGCTCCGCCTGGGGGCCCGAGACCGTCGCTCCGCCTGGGGTCCGGACCCGTCGCTCCGCCTGGGGGCCCGAGACCGTCGCTCCACCTGGGGGCCCGAGACCCGTACGCGCTCCGCCTGGGGGCCCGAGACCCGTCGCTCCGCCTGGGGGCCCGAGACCTGTCGCTCCGCCTGGGGGCCCGAGACCTGTCGCTCCGCCTGGGGGTCCGGCGCCCGCCGCTCCGCCTGGGGGCCCGAGACCTGTTGCTCCGCCTGGGGGGTCCGGCGCCCGCCGCTCCGCCTGGGGGTCGGTGCCTCCCGCCCCGCCTGGGGGCCCGAGACCTGTCGCTCCGCCTGGGGGTCCGGCGCCCGCCGCTCCGCCTGGGGGCCGAGCCTGTTGCTCCGCCTGGGGGCCCGGCGCCGCTGCTCCGCCTGGGGGCCCCCGAGCCTGTCGCTCGCCTGGGTCCGGCGCCCGCCGCTGCTCCGCCTGGGGGCCCAATGCCTATCGCCCGCCTGGGGGCCGAAGCCTGTGCCTCCCGCCTGGAGGCACCGCTGCCTGCTGCTCCGCCTGGTGACCCGCCGATGCTGCTCGCCTGGTGGCCCGCTGATGTGCTTGCCCTGGTCCAATCCGATGTGCCTCTGCCCGGAGTCCAGCCCGATGTGCCTCTGCCCGGAGTCCAGCCCGATGTGCCTCTGCCCGGAGTCCAGCCCGATGTGCCTCTGCCCGGAGTCCAGCCCGATGTGCCTCTGCCCGGAGTCCAGCCCGATGTGCCTCTGCCCGGAATCCAGCCCGATGTGCCTCTGCCCGGAGTCCAGCCCGATGTGCCTCTGCCGGTGTGCCTCTGCCCGATGTGCCTCTGCCCGGTGTGCCCTGCCCGGTGTGCCGCTGCCCCGGAGTCCTGTCCGGTGTGCCGCTGCCCGGAGTCCTGCCCGGTGTACCAGTCTTTGATATCCCGCCAGTTACCAGACCCGGGCGGTGGAACATTTTGCCCAGCTAGGACTGTTTGGAGCGTCCTGAGGCCGCTCCTTGAGGGGGGGGGGGGTACTGTCAGGAATGGACTGGCCAGCAATGGTGGGACTCACCTGCCTTATGAGCTGCAGTACCAGGGCTGGCCAGCGGGTGCTCCCAGCAATCAGAGACTCAACCTTGCAGCCAGCTAAACACCTGGAACTGATTATACTGGTGTATTTAAGGGATGGCCAGACCTGCAGACTCTGCCTTGGTGTGTGTTTCTCCTGGGCCCTGTATCCTGTTCCTGCTCCTGTTCCTGTCTGATTCGTTGCTGACCTGCTCTGATCCTGGCTTTGTCTGACCATTCTCCTGCTTCTGATCCCTGGCTTTGTCTGACCATTCTCCTGCTTCTGATCCCTGGCTTTGTCTGGACCATTCTCCTGCTCTGATCCCTGGCTTTGTCTGACCATTCTCCTGCTCCTGATCCTGGCTTTGTTCTGACCATTCTCTGCTCCTGAATCCCTGCTTTGTCTGACCCATTCTCCTGCTCAGATCCCTGGCTTTGTCTGACCATTCTCCTGCTTAACCCCATACGTTCTGACCTCCTGTTGATAATCCCGGCCTGCCTGACGACGCTTGCATTGTATGTACTGTTATTGTGGGTGGTTGGTTTGGTTTGTTTGCACTGTGTTATGTTTTAGTATTGCACTGCGTTTATGTTTGTATTGTTAGTGTTAATAAATTATATTTATAACATATCTGAAGCCTGCGTTTCCCTGCGTCAGTCACATACCTCTGGTCACACCCTGGAGCCCTGACAGTGACCAAGGGAACGGAATGATGGTAGCATCTTCTCATTCAATATAGAGCAGTACATCTGTGAATTCATGATACCATCAATGAAATGCAGCTCCCCGACACCAGCAGCACTCATGCATCCTCACAGAAGGACACTGATACCACCATATTTCATCGTAGGCACCATGAATATTTCTTTGTACTTCTCCCTTTGCAACGCCATACAGTTTTTGAAGCCATCAGGTCCAAAAACATTTATCTTGGTCTCATCACTCAGAGTACAGAGTTCCAGTAGTCGTCTTCATTTTCAGCATGGGCCCTTGCAAATTCTAGGTAGGCTTTTTTGTGCATGGGCTTTAGGAGAGGCTTCCTTTGTGGACAACACCCATGCACGCCATTCCTTTGCAGTGTATGCTGTACTGTGTCAGGGGAAACAATCACCCCAGTTTGGCATTCTACTTCTTTAGCTAACTGCAGTGAACTTGCATGGCGATTTTCTTCAATCCTTCTAATCAGAAGACCCTCCTGTCGAGGTATTCCGTAGACGTTCCATCTTGTAAAATTTTTGTATCGCTTTTGCTATTTTCTGACTGATAAGCTGATCTTCTTGTAGCCTTCATCTTTCTTGTGTAAGGAAATTATTTTCTTACTTAGGCCTTGTGACATTTCTCTTTCTATGTGGTGCCATTGCTGACAGCATGAAATGGGAAGGGGTTTTTTTTGTTCAGTAACGCTCTTTTATAATCAACTGTCTGCTGGACACCTGTTTAATTAATAAACTCACCTATAGTTGAATTCTTGTTAATTAGGATTTTGTTTATCTTTGCTGCTAAGACTTTCATTGGCGTGTATTCATTTTTGCAACATGGTGTTTGTTAGGAAAAATACTTTTTTGTGTGTGCAATTTAACAAATCTTGTTTGCAATCAATGGCCAACATTTGTGGGAGTATTTTGTAGTATAGTGTCCCATAGAAAATGTTGATTCTGATAGGAAAAAATAAAGGTTTTCTGACAAATTTGTTGGGGTGTACTAAGTTATGCTGAGCACTGTATTTAATTGCTTGTTTCACCATAGAAATAAATTCGGACTATGCAAAGCATTTTTTGAACAATGGAACATGAAAAAAAATATTTCAGTGCTCCAGGACTAGAAAAATATGGTTTAAATTTGATTCTATTATGTGATCATTAAATAGCAAGACATGCATTAGGTTAACATGATTAGCATTCCAAATGTAAGCATCCTTAATCACAGTTGTGTAAAGATACAAAAGTCTTAAGAACACAAGCTATTTTATTACAAATCCTATGGTTTTATTGAAGACTCAATAAAATAGACAAAGAAGCTTTTGGACAAATGCAAAAATTTGGCACTCAAGGGCTCAAAAAGCTCTGTAAAATTTTAAGGCATGTTAGAAAGGAGAGTAGTATATTTTGCACCTTATCCCATCTCCTTTAGGCCCCATTCTTGTGAATGGAGCTCTTTGCAATTAGCTGCAGGAGACCCAGTGGGTTTCCCTGCAATTAGCTGCAGGTAGGAAGCCTCACTGAACGCACTGGGAGGCTGACAGCTCCCGCGGCTGATCGCCCTGTATGCAGTCTGTGTCCAGTGCCAATCATTTGCAGGTGATTGCAGCAAATATTTGCAGGAGCTGTCAGCCTCCTGCAGCTGTTAATGGGGCTTCCCATCTGCAGATAATAGCAGGGAACTCTACAAGTGTGACTGGGGCCTTAATATATGAACCAACCTGCTACATTTGGTTGCCTTTCTTCAGCTTTGGGAATGAAGACTCTGATGACACTAGTGTTGATGTAGATAAGTGGTAGACTTCGAGAGGTTAGCGTGTGTGACCTCATGGGCTGCCCAGATGATTTATGTTTCTCCTTCTGACTTCGAGGTCGTCTAGCTTCAAAAATACTGGAAATTGCATTAAGCAAAGGGAAAAAAATAGTACAATATCAAAGGCTTGCGCTGAAATTAAGATTTCATGAAGGAAGTGAGGGGAACCATCCGATGAACCTTCAGAAAGTTTCTGAAAGCTCCGAGAAGTCCTTTCGCCTCTTGTGGTCAACTTGTGGCGGACATTCCTGGTCACAGCTTTGGTGTATGTGAGAGAAAGAAAGCCATGCTGTTGGTGGGAACTCTCTAATAGTTTTGCTGTGGTCTGTGTGGAAGAGAAGGGTGGTAGAACATACAATAGGTAGAACCACAATTAGTAGTGCAATAAGTTAGAACATATCCAATGCACAAACACAACATTTTAAAAGACCTTTATAGTTAAAGTAGTATAGGATCATTACTAATTACTTTTATATAAAGGTTGGTTCTAAGGTTGAAGGTTGGTGGTGTCCAAATATATATGGAAAAAATGTGAAGAGATCATTTTTCATCTGAGGGCTAATGGTACAGGAGCAAATAAGAAGGAAATCCAAGTAAATTGGCACTAATGTTTGATTGCCCTCAACTAGAGCATAAACATACTGTGTATAAGGATTTTTAAGATACTATTCTAATAAAAAAGACTAAAATGCTAATACATATGTAACACAAAAGAACATACTTTTAAAATATACAAAGTAAAAGCCAAAAAAAAAAAAATCACATTTCAATTTATAGCATGTAAATATAATAAAAAGGCACAGATTAAGTCTGAAGGAAAAAGCTCTTTCAGTAGTTACAAAAAATATTATAATTTAGGTGTGTTTAAAGTTGGTCTACCACATGTAAAACTCCATTTGATTAACAAATGAATTTCATTTTTTTTTTGGTAAAATGCTATACAGCTATAATAGCTTTATAAATGGAATGGTATACTTGTGGGGAAAATGAATAATGAAATATTATATGACATGTAGTAGGTCCGAATCAGAAAAACTTTCTCCCATATCCCAATAGGAACTTTGCTTTCAGTCGTTATTATACAGTGGCAGGGTGAGTAGAGAGGGAGAACAAATCTGTGGTGTTCTTTTTGAATATAGTATGGATATAGTATGATTATAGTATGTTTTGAATATATATTGATATCATTTTAATATAGTATGATTTAAAATAATTAGCACATTGCCTAGGGCAAGAAGAATTTAATAATGTTGGAAACTGTCTCTTGCTTCATCATATGTTCAAATCAATTTCAGGGAGAAAAATACATCCATACAAAGAGACAGACATAGGTGGATAGCCAGCAAATAGTAGTGTTTCCTTTATCGAATAGATTCTACTATTTTCTGAAATAAACATAAAACTATGTATTTTGAAAGTGCTTTTTCTGAGACAGTAAATGGTAGGCTATTAAAGCAGGCAAAGCCACGCAGAGCAGCTGGTGGGCTCTTTGATTAACTTTTAGATTGTGGATAACAATTTAGATTAAAACCCTTCACTCAAAAGAACATCCATCAACCATACAAATATAGAATAAATATGCCTTAAAATAAGGTATATCATGGCAAAAATATTTATGAATACAACAAAAATGTTTAAATTTAGCAATTTAGAGAAATAGAAGGGTTGATGAAGGTTCTTTATCAAAATTAATATGAAAATCAATTCTTACAGAAGGGAAGAAGCCAGAAAAGTTACTGAAGGGGTCTTGCTTGCTGACGGGTCGAACCAATGTGGTGCGTCTGTTCAGCTTGTCGGTACATGAAAGGAAAACGCCGCCATATTGCCCCAGACACCAACAGTTTTCACCAAGACTTCAAGATTTTTACAAAGTGTAGAGAGAAGAAAGAAAAACAAATTGCAATGATAATAATAAGCTGGTAGATATGGTGGATTTCCTTTCTTAATAATACCAATATGTATATGATGCAGAGCTGCAGTGGGCTATAAATAAACTCTTTCACTAATCCAATGCCAGCAGTACAAAGCTGTACAAAGTGCAGTGACCTTAAAGTGTATAAAACCATACAAGCAAATTTCTAAATGGACCAAAATGAGCTGAACTCTAATTGGCTGCTAAAGGTTATAGCACTTTGTATCTTTTAAAGTGTTACTAAACCTAGGACCCCACATTCACTCTGTCTGGTCTCCCACAGAACACAGAGCGTGGAAAAGCAATTGTTTTAGTAAATATAAGCTGATAAATACCTTTTCTCATCAGCAGTTAGAGCAGTCTTGTGACTTCTATCAGTGTTCAGCAGAACACATGTTAAAGCTTGCAGGAGGAGTTTTCTTTCTGCTCTAGGAGGATGTAGAACCCCTGACCTCTGTCTAAGCAGTGCTGATTGGACCTGTGCTGATCACATGCACTCTCCCAAGAAAAAGAAAAAACTTCTCTAGCAATACACACCAAGCTGAGCATATGCAGAGTATCTCCACAATATGTCTTATCATCAGGAGAAAAGAGGGGGGCACTGGAAGATGGGAAGGATCAGAGAAGTCAGGCTCAAACAGCTTTTTTAAACAATACAGAGGATTAACCACTTAGGTTCCACGAGTATAACAAGCATGCTTTACTGCATATGCAGACTGATTTTACTGTTGTGGGTTTTAGTAACACTTTAACTGTCGTCAACAGACTCTCAAGAATAAGTGTATGTATACTTCGTATACACAGTGGCAGAAGCCACTCTATGACCTGTATTCTGTAAAGCAGATCCTAGTCATGGAAAGTGTATGACATTACTTGTCACATCTAATGTTCTTAAAGGAACTTCCAGGAGAAACAAAAAAAACCCTAATTGCTTGGAAACCCACAGCAAGAGGTCCTCCCCTCCCATGGGCCTTTTGTAAATAAGAGCAGGCCTCCTATCCACAGCTGTTTACAGAAATTGGTAAACAATGTCCAACCATGAGAAAGAGAGTAGTATTTTATTTTAGCTTTAAGTTCAGATAGCATTGTGGATGTAGTATCAGGGAAGAGAACCTCTGCGGTGTTACTTGGTGGCATTACAAACAAACCAGGGACTTTCAGTTTTCCTGCAAGAGTCCTTTAAGGAAATAACAGCCAACAAAACAGCTGTCATCAGCATATTGTGTTTAAACTGATAAGCACACCCCATGTGTCTTGAAAATCTAATAAGATGGTTAACTATCAGGTTACTATTTGGAGGGTCTGCATCCATAACTGGTCAGCTAGGGAAATCAAGAGTATCGGAACTTGTACTATAACAATACAGGAAGAGTTACCCACCGCTGCTCTTTTAGATTTAACCAGCACACTATTAATACATGAGAAAAATAATTTCTGATAGGTGAATTTAGCGCAAAGCTTGATTAGGCTTGTGGCAAATGATTACAAGAATAAACCTTTATTTAGGCATTTCCCAACCTTAGGCTATTATTGGATCATTATAACTATTCTGTAGATCATTATCAGTAGACACTTTCCTTTTATCTTTTGTAAATCTATCTGTGCCTTCAAGGCTCTATAAGTCAGTTGCAGAATTTATTCTTGTCACACCACAATGTGACGCTAAATTGATAAATGAATGCAATAGCTGTACCTTGTGCAGAGAACATTGCACAGCAAAGCATACCAAGGCAACAAACTCTCCCAGATGCCATAAAGCATATCTGAAAAAGCAAAAAAATGATTGCAACAACCAATGCTCAAATGTGACAGGGGCCTTCTACTATCAAAGTAAAACTAAAACCACTGGTCATGGAAGGTACAATCTTAGCCTTTGTTTAGACCTGAAATTGCCATGGTGCTCTACATGTGATGAGCTATGACACCAGCCACCTGAGGGTTTAAAAGCTTTGTTGAGAGTTGACATAAGCACACTGGGAACTGTAACAGGTATCACCATATGCATGCCTTAAATGTAATTGTTCTGGGAGACAGTTAAACTGGTGGGTTTAGTTCCACAAAATGCAAACGAATAATATTGGTTTAAAAAAAAACTGGGTATAAAGAGTTACAGAGAAGGTCAAACAAGGACAATATGCAGCAGAAAAGGGTCTTATGCACTTTGCACCTAAAGGGCAGAACTATTGATCATTTTTTTCCTTCCATGAAATAGAAAAGCTTGTCTAATATTAAATGAGGGAGGACTTTCCCTTTACATTCATTTTAACAATGCAAAGCAATACCAAACAGGTCTCAAGTAAGGTTAGGTTTATTCTTGTCACCACTGGCAGAGGTTAAAGGATCACATGGGTCAGAATGGAGGCTAGAGCTTTGATAAATAGTGACTACATGGTCTCACCACAGGTTTTTCTTTGCATTGTAGAAATATCCCAAGAAAAACGCCTGCCTGCCAGCTCTCACCTGGCCTGTAATAAATACAATGTTACCCTTGCCTGCAATGTGCAATAAGTGATAATCAACATAAACATGGGCAGTGGCAGATGAAACCACCCTCTGGCTTCTTACATCTCTCAGGGGCTCTAGACCCAATAGTTAACCTTTTGCAGTGTTCTGTTTCTGGTCTTCCCCACTGCAGAGTCTCACTCCTATGACATTATAGCATGGCGGCTATGTTAATCACAGGACAATCTCTGTCAATTAAAACAAATGAAAATGCCGGCATGATACACTCTTGTAAATTTCACAGTAGACAGACCTGGGAAATCAGGAACAGAATGATTAAAATTAATTATCTGAGAGATAAAAGAGGCTGGTAGGTGATATAACCGACCTCTGACCAGACAAAACCTATACATCTGTTTTGGATGGACTGCCCCTTTAAACTGCTCTGACAGAAAGGAATAACCCCCCCCCCCCACCTTCACCCCATTCCTTCAACATTGCAACTGTCAGGCAACAATACACACTGTAAACAAGGACATACATCATTTCAGTTTAGCATCTTAGTAGGATATACAGTGCACAACTAACAGCACATGGGGAATTAAGAACACATTAGCAGGAAGGATGAGCAAAAGTTATTTTCAGGAAACTAGATTACTACCATCTTGAAATCAGTTTGTGATGTCAATGTAACAAGCAGATAATGGGAAACAGGAATAACACTGGTTTCTAATTAACAGGTTGTGGATCGCTATGTTTTTTCTTTGTAGCCACAGAACCTACAGTTTTCGACAATCAGGATACACAGGCTATTTTCAAAACAAATTAAACTAAACAAAAAAAAGGCAATGTTGTTCCACTCTGAACAAATGACAGGCTCCAGTGTGGTGACAATTGAGATAAATACAAAATTGAAGGAAAACACAAAACAAGGGAGCTGCTGTTTGTAAACCAAAACAATTGCAATACTGCTCAGTCTTTGAATAATCCACCCCCACCATGCTAGAAAGGGTGACACCATTATTCAGAGACGTTAGCAATGAGGTTTCCTTTGTCAGCCTGCCACCTTCAGCCACTGCACTACCTAATGATGAGGCCATACCTGTGTTCCCCCTACCTCCTATATCCCCCTCTTTAATTTCCTTTCACTCCATAATTTGAACCATATTAGACTGAAATTAATATTCAGCGAAAAATGGGCTGAATTGTTTACAGTGCTGTTCTTCCTGCTTTAAAGCAAACCTTGGCTTTGCCCATTCTGAGCAAAGCAACAGGTGTTCCATTCATCCATCCCCGGCATACATCTACCAGTTTTTTTGCTTCCCCACTTCTCAGCACTAGGACCCAAATGAAAATACTTAGTACTTCCAGGTATGGAGGACAACATGACTCATTTCAAGCAAACCCTGAATAAGTGACAAGTTCAGGGATGTGTAATTTTCATAGGACTTATCTTTCACTCCTGATGGCTGAGCGGAGTGTTAAGGGAGTAAAAGAAAGCCTCTCTGCAGGTTTGTGTTAAATCACAATAGCTGCTTCATTTCACGAGACTAATCATGTAAGATATTGCATACAGGCAGTTACAGAAGTTTAAATACTGTACATTAGTGGTCACTGAAACATTAGGGCTTAATTTGGTTTAAATTCATAAGCTGGTTGATTGGTAGCAGGAAAGATTAAGTGCATTTCCAACCCAAAAAAGCAGTTTGAAATTTCTATTGTAGAGGGTGGAGCGTACATGAATGTGGATTTGTACGCTCCCTAGAGGATTCTCCATAGAATTATCCAGGAAACCCACACAGGCACTATGCTGGTGACAATGATACCATACAGATAAAACCAAGTCAGGATCATTGGGAATGGGGGGAGATTTCCTTGCTGGAATCCTGGACATAGAAAAACTCAGTTGAAGTCTGCTCATTATTTACTATGTCAGGTCCAACCAATGATGCAGAGACCTTATTCCTTCTAATCCTCTCAGATGGCAGAGAGGGACACCTTTTAGCACACAATGTTTAACCCATGGACAAGTAAACTAGCCACATCCACCATCACACAGACCATAGCGTAGTTAGGATAAAAATGGTCAAACCTACTGGATATTTTTGACCACTACTTTTGCTTTATATTGGTGTTCAAAACTAACAGATTAAAATTTTACATTTTAAAACAACTCCAGAAGTGAAATAATTTTTTTTCTTTTTTTATAGATTACTACACATTGCTAAAAGAAGGACTTTTGAGGACGAATGAGGTACAGTTGTTCGCTATGGAGAACTATTTTTTTTTTTTCGCTGGCTTAGTTTTAGCAGCATATAAAAAACTAGGTTCACTAAATAACTGCTCTTACCTGCTCCTATAATGATCAATGTTGAAACTTTCAATCTTACATTTGACTTTAGTATAGACATCTTGGACATCAACAGAAGCATTGAGGTCCTCCAGTTCACTAACTACACAGATCTCTGAAAAATAAAGTGCAAATAAATTACATATATATACATATATATATATATATATATACACACAATACTCAAAAAGATTAAAGGAACAGATCTCAATGGGGAAAAATATCATGCTGGATATCTATACTGATATTGACTGGGTAATGTGTTTGGAACGTAAGGATGCCCCATCGTTTGATGGAAATGAAAATTATCAACCTACAGAGGACTGAATTCAAAGACACCCAGAAAATCAAAGTGAAAAAATGATGCAGCAGGCTAGTCCATTTTGCTGAAATTTCATTGCAGCAACTCAAAATGGTACTCAGTAGTGTGTATGGCCCCGACGTGCTTGTATGTATGCCTGACAACATCAGGGCATGCTCCTAATGAGATGACAGATGGTGTCCTGGGGTATTTCCTCCCAGATCTGGACCAGGGCATCACTGAGCTCTTGGACAGTCTGAGGTGCAACCTGGCGGCGTTGGATGGAAACGAGACAGGATATCCCAGATTTGTTCTATTGGATTTAGGTGAGGTGAACGTGGGGGCATTCAATGGTGTCAAATCCTTCAGGAATTGACTGCATACTCATGCCACATGAGGTAAGGCATTGTCGTGCACCAGGAGGAACCCAGGACCTAATGGCAGTCAAGGTGCCATTGACTAGCTTGTAGGGGTATGTGCATCCCTCCATGGATATGCCTCCCCAGACCATCACTGACCCACCACCAAAATGGTTATGCTGAATGATGTTACAGGCAGCATAACATTCTCCATGGCTTCTCTAGACCCTTTCACGTCTGTCAGGGTGAACCTGCTCTCATCTGTGAAAAACACAGGGCACAGTGGCAGACCTGCCATTTCTGGTGTTCAATGGAAAATGCCAATCGAGCTCTGGGGTGCTGGGCAGTTAGCACAGGGCCCACTAAAGGACGTCGGGCCCTCAGGCTACCCTCATGAAGTCTGTTTCCGATTGTCTGGTCAGAGACATTCACACCAGTGGCCTGCTGGAGGTCATTTTGTAGGGCTCTGGCAGTGCTCATCCTGTTCCTCCCTGTACAAAGGAGCAGATACCGGTCCTGCTCCTAGAGTAATAGCCTCTGTCTCCAGAAATCTCCTCCATGCTCGAGACTGTGCTGGGAGATACAGCAAACCTTCTGGCAATGGCACATATTGATGTGTCATCTTGGAGGACTTGGACTGCCTGTGCAACCTCTGTTTCTCTGGGTCCAGGTATCGCCTCATGCTACCAGTAGTGACACTGACCCTAGACAAATGCAAAACTAGTGAAACAGTCAGAAAAGATGAGTAGGGGAAAAAAATGTCAGTGGCCTCCACTTGTAAAACCATTCCTGTTTTGGGGGTCATCTCATTGTTGCCCACCAATGCACCTGTTGTTAATTTCAGTAACACCAAAGCAGTTGAAATTGATTAACAACCCCCTCTGCTACTTAGCTGAACTGATCAATATCCCAGGAGATTAATTGACTTGTTGCTATACTCTGATTAAAAAGTGTTCCTTTAATTTTTTTTGAGCAGTGTGTATATATATATATATATATATATATATATATATACACACACACACACACACACATACACACACACACACATATACATACATATATATATACATACATACATACATTTTATAAACACAGCTGCCTAAAACAAATCAGTCATTAGCAGCTGAATTATGACTGGCTACTCTGACATTAAGTTAGCAGCGAAACACATCCATACTTGTTCCATTGTTTGCAGGGTCCACAGCAAAGAGTTTTATTGTAACTTTGGGTAACATCCACTGCATCCAGAGACTGACCCGACCACTAGACACTCCAATATTACTTGTTGTTTGCTCCAGGGTAACCGAATCAGAAAATGGGGAGTCCTCTGCTGCCTGCATAGAATCGCCCTGCATTGAGAAGTGAACAGAACATTAAAGTGTACAAGTCAACTTTTTTATGTTTTTAGTTTATATATATATATATATATCCTTACAAATATAGATAATTTTATTTCAGTCTGCCGATTTTTCCTACTTATCCCAGTTTGACTCTAAAACATACTATCTAATGTCCTAAGAATATACAAATTCACACATTCCCAAAGGGACTATGTAAGGAGTGGTCAAATACTATACAAATACATTTTACATTGTAAAAGGAAATCTTAGTCCCCTGGAGGAAACCCATGCAAACTTAGAATAAACAAACTTTTTATAGATAGCATAACATGAATGACCTTACATGTTCTGAAGGCAAGATTATTAGCTACATAGATTAATAATAATAAAAATAAATGTCCTAGGGCTCTGGATCACATACTGCATAACTATGCTTCTGCTTGTTGCGCAAAGCAGCTAATCACATTACAACTGCCATTTTTTTTCAGAGCATTCTTGAAAAAGAAAGAATCCAATTGACTTTTTCTGGCTATAAAAAAATAGCCATAGCCTATTTCTATCTACAAGAATAGCACACATTGTACAGATATTATATATATAACTTACGCAATGCACAATAACTTAACAGCATACAGTCAAGAGTTTATGAAACTGTGAAAGATAAATGGGTATTGTGTATATTATCCAGACACCTGGCTTACCAAGAAAATAATACAGTATTTACCAGCGTCATTCAGCTTCATTATCTGGTTGTAAATTGTGTACACTATGCAGACACTCAAGGAAAAAAAATAGTGTGATGTATTTACTCTAGTCATTTGGCCTGATTAGCCTGGTTGTGCTGTCAAGTGACTAGTAGATCTCTCCATCAAATTTAGCTACATGAAATGCTGTAATAAGCACATTCCAGCATGGGTGGTCTTATGAAAGCTTGCATAACACTGGTAAGAGCTGTATACTTTTACAGCAATTACAATGTTAAATGCTGAAATAAACACACTTAAAAGATGCCACTTGGAAAAGTTCACTCTGAAGGACAAAAACATGAAGGAGGGAAGAGAAAAGGGGAAAAATTAACTCAGTGTGGGAAAATAGAACAGGTCAAACACGGTTTGTAACAACGTAATAAATTAGGGATTATTACCGCACTAATATAGAGCTTCTGGGACCACTTTAACACTAAACTCTAATAGACAGATGTAAAATCCAGCCCATGCAGTGTAAGAAAAAAAAAAAAAAAAAAAAAAAAAAAGAAATATGTTAACATATTCCACAAAGCACCTGTCATGCTTTGTACTGCAATGTTATGTACATTTTGGATGCTGCACACCAGTTGCAAATGTTCATAAATGATGATATTTACTGGCACAATAATGCATCAAAGAAACCATTAATAATTGTTTGTGCACAACCGACAACATCTTGTACACCAAATAGACCACATCATAGGATCCCTGTCATTACTGCTTGGAGCTTCTGATACTTGTGAGTGATCTGCACCTCTAATTCCCATCAACTCACCATTCTGTGTATGATATCCTGCTGGGGGAATTTTTTTACTTTCCAGTGACAAATTAATATGCAATTGCTATTTTTGATTTGCACTTTTTCTTATTACACTGAATCTAGATAAACAGAGCAATCCCGGTATCGCACATGAGCTCCCTCATCTTTGTCTACAACTTTCCCACACCTTCTCACTCCAAGTCCTAACATAAACAATTTAATTCTTTCACCGATGCTCTGCAAATTGGTCCAAATACAAAGTTTATTTTCTTAGCAGGAATTTATCTTTGAGCATCAGGAAGAACAAAACACATAAGGTCTTCATCCTTGGCCCGCCTCAAGGCCTCAAGATGATCGCAGCTTTTTGGCCACACTGGTGCTAGGCCTTATCAAAATAACTCAACCTTCTTGTTCAATCACAAAGTGTCCCCCAGGACTAAACACTTCGACCACTGTTTAGGCCTAGGTAAACAGTAACAAGTGGTGTGTTCAAGCCTGCATTACCTTTGCTCTCCAGCCTTAATCTAAATCTAGTTCCAAAAAAAAAAAAAAAAAATGATTAACAGTTTTCAAACTTTCATCTGAAAGAAATAACCTAAGCCTCTCCCCTCCTGCTGCGTACCCCTGCAGCCACCCAGATTGAAATGAATGCAGGAAGCTGTGGTGTTCGGCCTGCCCTCTGCCCATAAGCACACACAGGAGTTCAATGCATACCATAAACTTGTCAGCGTGAAAAGAATTACTCACAGCTCAAAATATAAATCATCTATGGATATTGTAAGCAAATGCCTCCTTTTCCAGTTCAATGTAAACAAGTGCTCAGATGGGTTCCCTGCCCCCCCCCCCCCCTTTCTCCCTTTAAGAGAGAGAGGAAAAAAATTCATTTAGAAGTTCACTCCACTTTAAAGAAGACTTTGAAAAATAATCAGTCGGCCTTGCAGCCCTCAGTATAGAAGAAGACTTGTATGCAAAACATACAAAGTTCAAAAATTCATAAATACGGCCTGGGGAAACTTATTTTTGTTTGACAATGTTTTAAAAGTAACTCACAGAGACAGGGTGGGAATTGCACAAGAGGTGGGTAATTATGGACGGGTCCCGAGGCTTACTGACCACACAAACATTTAAACATTGGTTATAAAGCCTAACCATCTTTACCCTAATGTATTCTTTGCATTAAGGTGAAAAAAAGTTTAGGCATCAGTATCCCCCCTCACCCCTCATTTTACTTACCTGAGCCTTCATTCGAACCTGTGCGTTGCACTTCTGAAGCTCTTCTGTTCCCTCAGTTCCGGGTCTCACAGGCTTTGCTGGGGCACCAGGATCCACTGGTTCCCATTGCTGTCAAACAAAGCCAGAGACAAGGGAGCAGGAGGAGTGTCAATGGACACAGACAGCAGGGCTCAGGAGCAAGCCCACAGAAGTGCCCCATAAGAAGCAGCTTTCTATGGGGGCACTGGACAGAGAGGAAGAGCCAGGAGTGCTAGCAGGGGATCTGAGAAGAGGAGATTTGGGCCCCTTTGTGGAATTTCACTGTACAGACCTGGTAAGTATGAACCTGTATGCTATTAAAAAAAAAATAAGTTGACAACCATTTTAAATTAGATGCTGCAAAGTATGTCCTTCAATCCCAATCTCCCCCGAGTTAATGAAAAATCAAGATAATCGCAATAACATCAGCCAAGAATAATTAAGCCCAACACCAGGCAAACTTTTCTTTAAAATTGATGTTGCCCCAGTAGTTAAGAAGAAAAAAAACAGCTATGGTATTAATACTCACCTCCTTTCTGGCACAAAGAAATGGCCTCAGTCTTCAGAGTTAAATGATAGCATTCTCTGTGTCTCCATAACCTTAAGAGTGGTTCTAAAGGTACAGAGTTTTTACCTTAATGCATCCTCTGCATTAGGGTAAAAAGCATTCTGTGTGCAGCTCCTACCCCCCCCAGACCCCCCTCCCCAAACTTACCTGAGCCAGCTCTCGATTCAGCGCTGCTCACAAGAGCTGCGGCTCTCTCTCTCCTCATTGAACAGAGAGGCAGCAGCAGAAGCCATTGGCTCCTACTGCTGTCAATCCCAGCCAGTGAGGAGAGTGAGGGGGGAGGAGCCGAGCAGCGTTCTGTGTGTCAATAGACACACAGAGCATGGCTCAGGTATAAGCTTGCACAAGTGCCCCCATAGCAAACAGCTTACTATAAGGGCACTTGTCAGGGGTGAGAAGCCAGGAGCACTGGTGGAGGACCTCAGAAGAGGAGAATCGGGGCAGCTCTGTGCAAAGTCATTATACAGAAAAGGTAAGTATAAATGTATTCTTTAATACCACATATACCTTAGCAATGAACATTGTAATTATTTAAGTATCCCCTGTATAACAGCTGTTCAAAACACAGAACAGAATCTTTGAAGGGCCTAGATATTTGCTTACCTACACAGCAACAGCTTTAAACCTTCCTCACACCTATGCACTGTGATAATGCTCATTACTGCTACACACAGCACTCTGTGCATGGTGTTACAATGCCATTCATTTAGAATGGCAACACAACTCAGATTACAGTAGCTGCCAAAGGACCACACCACAGTGTACCACAAAGCACCTCTAGTACACTGTAGTGTGCTGTGTTAAAAAGAAAGGTACAGGTCCACTTTTTTCTGTTGCTGTGTGTTGGCAGACCATTTAAAATTAACGCACCCCGTGAACACATTCATGCACCAATATACACAGAGTGGGCAGATGTGAAATGACCACCAAGCTACCCTATAAGAGAGCCAGGATCAAGAGGTATGTTTAGATATCAAGCTAGCGTAGCTACAAGCTAATTATGTTATAATCATTTGTTACTAAAAAAGCCTAACTTGAGGAATTTTTTTAAACTTGTTAAAATTTCTAAATTTCATGTCTATTTGTAAGCCCACTGGATAAATTTCCCCACACTTTGTGGTTGGCACCAGGACAGGCACAGACAGCAAAAAACTCCACTTTTTGCACTCTACTATAAATTTGTTTTTGAGTCCCTATTTGAGAAATTGTATACCACTTCTTGTTTTGACAGCAAGTTGTTTTCCCAGCAGGTCAGCACACACAGCTCTCCCTCATAGAAGTGAATCAGCAACACCCTTCCAGCCTTCTAATCTCAATAATTCACAGAGCAGGTGTTCTGGGAGGTACAGAGCTACTGAGAGAAGGACATCAATGTTGTAAATTTGAGAATCAATTGCTCCACAGTGCCTGCAGCTTTAAGTGTCAGGAAGGATTTGTTTAAATATTATTTACAGCATGTTAGGAATTAGTTTTATATAATCCGCCTTTATTAAGATTTTGCATATATAGAAAAAGTTACAAAAACAGACATCTTCAGAAACCCAAAAAGAAAAAGAAAAGAAAAGGGATTGTGGAGTACACAAAATATAAAGACAACAGATAACCAGTAATATACATAGCATATACCGAATTCCACCTCCATATAACCCCTGGGCATTATAGTTACAAGGTTTTCACAAATGCATAAAAATAAAAAATTGGGTGGGGCGAG